AAAAAATATAATTATGAATAAGATGAGAAAATAAAGACGGCATTTATTCCGTGGAAATAACTAGCAGGGTTTTAGTATAGTCGGCGGCGGCTGTCGGTGGCGGCAGACGCGGCGGGAAAAGCAAGAGGAGAAACCGTTGTAAAATATCCTTGTAGTTTTTGGACACGGCATATGTACACTCGCCCTCCATGCGCTTCGCCACGTCATTGCAAATGGTTTGAAATCGCCATTCTGGTGTGTGCGCGCGCGCGCATGCGCCATGCGGTCACGTGACGGGGAGATGATATGCCACATTTGAGTTGAAAATGTACATGTTAAATTATTATTTATTTGTTTCTTTGTACATACTGTTTTGTGTCCTGTAAATGAATATCTACGTATAAATACAGATAAACACAGTTATTACGTAAACCTACTTTCGACCTACTTGTCTGTTTTAATTATGTTTTAATTACGTGCACTTGTTGTTACCGCGGGAAGTTTTTCCACTCTAATAGGCAGCTGTATATATCATACTGTTAAGAGCTAATAAATACCTATATTTACCTCTGGTATATATACCGCTGATATCTACCTATATTTACCTCTGGTATATATACCGCTGATATATACCTATAGGTATTTGTTAGCTCCTGATACTGTGAATAACATATATCTGTGCATAACATATATCTGTGCATAACATATATCTGTGCATAACATATATCTGTGCATAACATACAGAACATTTTCAGGCGTGTGCGGCTCCAAAAATAAACAAATATCGACATATAACCTCAACTATTACGTTAAAATGATACTCGTTTTCATGTGTTGAATAATAACGAAATGCTGATAAAGTACGTGATAATACTGAGTGAAATGCTGAGAAATACGTGAGATGCGTTAAACACTGCTGCAGCGAGTCTTAACAAATAACACGACAAATCGAACACCGGTAGATGATTGACACATCGAAATTGATCGCCAATAACTTTTACATAGACCGAGAACAACAAAGGCAGGGGAAGAGCGACGACCGCCCGACGATCCTCTGAAGTATTACAAGCAGCAGTCGAGTCCGCCGAACGTGACACTGCAGCCGCCGGCACATCACCCACACCTGCTGCCGTACCTGTATCCCAGCTACGCGGGATCGGCTCCCGCGATGCCGTTCCCGCTCGGTCAGTTCCTGCTGCCGACGTCGCACGCGCTCACGTCGGCCGCCGGACACTCTCTACCTCACCACTTCGCCGCCGCGGGTCTGACGTCGCAACACCACCCGGGCCTCGCCGCGATGACGCAGGCGGCGATGTCGCACCTGCCGCAAGGTGGCGCCGCCGCTGCAGCGGCGGCGGCAGCGCAGCACGGATCCCCGCATCAGATGGGGCTCGGGTTCCTCAATCCGCAGTTCATCGCCGCCAACCACGCGCTGTTCCATCAGGGTTTCGCCGGACTCGGCGGCGCGGTGTCGACGGGCGCGTCGTCGCTCGCTTCGTCGCTGGCGGCTGCGGCCGTCTACAGTCCGCACCGCTTCAACCCCTATCAGCTGCCGATCACGACGACGACGATGGTGACGACCGCCAGTCCTCTCATCTCGACCGGCGACGGCGGCGTCTGCGAGCTGTCGCCGAGCGTCAGCGAACCGTCGCCGACGTCGTCCATCTCGTCGCACTCATTCCCGACGTCCCCCGGCCGCCATGCGTCGTCGCCGCCGCCGCCGCCGCCGACGCTGATGCCGACGCAGACGCGGGCGTCGCCGACGGCGACCGTCACCAAGGCGTCTGCGGAGAGTCAGATTCGCAGCATCGAGCAAATGGTGAACGGAATCGAACGCACGCGCGAACGTCCGCCCAGCTCGACCGATAGCAAATGATCGGTAGGGAGCGCGGCGCAGGTGTGACGGCATAGAGGGGAGTGACAGAGAGAGAGAGGGAGGAAGAAGGAAGAGAGAGAGAGAAAGAAAGAGAGAGAGGAGAGAGAGAGAGAGAGGAGAGAGAGAAAGGATGGAGAAAGAAAGGGAAGAGAGAGAGAGAGAGAGGAGAGAGAGAGAGAGGAGAGAGAGAGAAGAAAGAGAGAGGGGAAGAAAGAGAGAGGCGAGTGAGAGATAGAAAGATAGAGAGGAGGGAGGAATGAAGAGATAGAAGAAAGAGAGAGAGAGAGAGAGAGAGAGAGAGAGAGGGAGAAAGAAAGAGAGCGAGAGGAAGAGAGAAGGATATGAAGAAAGAGGGTGAAAGCGGTCGAAATAGAGAGACAGAAAGAGAGAGCAAGGGAGAGATGAAGAATGAGAGAGAGAAACGAGAGAGAGAGAGAGAGAGAGAGAGAGTTAGAGAGGGAGAGAGCCGTCGGCCTGCCAGCGTACGTCTCCTGGACTTCTTCTTCTTCTTCTTCTTACATAGAAGAGAGAGAGACAGAGAGAGACGACGCCGTGGTGATCTGCGATTCTAGTCCAGTGTTGGCGCGAGACAAGGAGAAAATACGAAAGGAGGGGCCGATGTATGGGCAGAAAAATAGTGTGGGAGAGTAGAAGAAAGAGAGATAGAGCAGCGGTCACCGGTTACCGGTCAGCGTGGTGTGGGCCTTAGCGCCGGGCACCCGGACGTGCGGGTGGGCGGCCGTCGAACAGCGTGACGTCACCGCCAGGTAGCGTGACGTCAGCACAGGTAGCGTGACGTCACCGCCAGGACGCCAGACGAGGCCGTTAGCGGAAGTGACGCGTAATACCGGCCGCCCCCGGTGTCGCTGCAGTTTCTTACGCGATGTAAAGAGTGTCAAAAAGCGATTATGTACTGCGCGTCGATTTTTTTACACACACACGCACGCACGCACACACACACACACACACACACACACACACACACACACACACACACACACACACACTACACACACATACACACCACACGCACGCACACACACACACACACACACACACCNACACACGCACACACACACACACACACACACACACACACACACCCGCCCCCTCCACCGCCGCCACCGTCCGGTCAGACACGCCGCTAATCAAATTAACACCTAGAGCGACGAGGCAGCCGCAGCGTGGCGCCAGCCTGCCGTCGCCCCCGGGGCTTCAACACTCCCCGAGTGCTCCTCACTGCCCGCCGATAGACGATACCTCTAGAATAAACGCTCGCCGGGTCATCTTTCGCAAACTTCGTCTGCGGCTGATGCTACAGAAAGAGATAGGAGAGAGGGGGAGAGAGAGGGAGAGAGAGGGGAGGGAGAGAGGGAGAGAGAGAGAGAGTGAGAGAGAGAGAGAAAAGAAAGAGTGAGAGAGTGAATGAGAGAGAATGATAGAAAGAGAGAGTT